CTGCCCAAGAGCTAACTGACAGGGGGACATGACAGGAAGACGCGCCGCGGAACGTCCCAAGGGACGCGCCAAGCGACGTGCCAAGGGAGGTGCCAGGGGACGCACCGCGGGACGTGCTAAGGGGACGCGCTACGGAACGTGCCAATGGACGTGCGCGCCGCGGAACGTCCCAAGGGACGCGCCAGGGGACGTGCCAAGGGACGTGCCATGGGCACGCACCGCGGGACGTGCTAAGGGGACGCGCTACGTAACGTGCCAATGGACGTGCCGCGGGACGTGCCATGTGACGCGCCGCGCGACGTGCCAGGGGGACTCGCCACGGGACATCCTCATGCTAGGCATCCGCATGGGCAACCTGGACACGTGCAAACAAGCGTCTCGCTCGAGACTTCCTCAACTCATGAGACATCCGCCTAGGCGACCTGGACGCGTGAAAACAAGCGTCTCGCTCGAGACATCCTCACCAAATCCTCATGCTAGATATTTGCCTGGGCAACCTGGATGCGTGAAACCATCCGTCTCGCTCGAGACATCCTCAAGACCTGGGCACGTCAAAACAAACATCCCACTTGAGAAATCATCTGAATTCTGGTTCCCAGGAGACGACAATATTTAACACAAAAAAGGCGTTTCGCTTGATACATCCTCAACAGTTGCTGCAAACCAAGCGTTTCGCTGGAGACATCCTCAAACTTCAATTCCGCCGGCCCTACGCGACCAAGTTGTTTATCGTAACATAATTCCGCCAGCCCTGCGCAAGTCGAAGCTCGGGGTAAACATGTCAAAGAACCCTGGGCCAGAGCCCTTTCCGGGAAGAAGGCGCCGAAAGCCAAAACGGCGCCGAAAACCAAAGGAGCGCCGAAAATTAAAGGGGGGCCGAAAACCACAAGGGCGCCGAAAACCAAAGGTGCGCCGAAAACCGCAAGGGCGATAACAACCAAAGTGGCGCCGAACATGATCGAACCACAAACCTGGAAAGGAAGATTGGCATGTAAGCATGGCGACGTTTTCAAAAACATCGGATTAAGCGACGGGCAGATGCAATGCTGAATGTATCGATCTTGATGTACCGTGCCGAGGGCTGTGCTGTGCTGCGCCGTGCTGAAGTGCGATGTACCATGCCGCGATTGTGCTCTATAGCGTTGTGGATCGAGTCCTCCTTTGCATCCGAGTCCTGACCGAATTGATGTGGATCTTAAGCTCGAGCTGCCTGAGCACATAGTAGCTGCCCCAGACCTAATGGGACTGGGGGGCATGACAGGAGGACGCGCCGCGGAACGTCCCAAGGGACGCGCCAGGCGACGTGCCAAGGGAGGTGCCATGGGCACGCACCGCGGGACGTGCTAAGGGGACGCGCTACGGAACGTGCCAATGGACGTCCCGCGGGACGTGCCAGGTGACGCGCCACGCGACGTGCCAAAGGGACTCGCCACGGGACGCGCCACGAATCGTGCCAAGGAATGTGCCAGGTGGCAATGCTGAGTGCATCGATCTTGATGTACCGTGCCAAAGGCTGTGCTGTGCTGCGCCGTGCTGAACAGCGATGTGCCATGCCGCGATTGTGCTCTATAGCGTTGTGGAGCGAGTCGTCCTTTGCATCCGAGTCCTGACCGAACTGATCTGGATCTTAAGCTCGAGCTGCCTGAGCACATAGTAGCTGCCCAAGAGCTAACTGACAAGGGGGCATGCCAAGGGGACGCGCCGCGGAATGTCCCAAGGGACGCGCCAGGCGACGTGCCGGGGGACGTGCCATGGGCACGCACCGCGGGATGTACCAAGGGGACGCGCTACGCAACGCGCTGGGGACAAGCGTTTAGCTCGAGTCATCCTGTCCAAATCCTCATGCTAGACATACGCCTGGGCGACCTGGACACGTGAAAACAAATGTTTCGCTCACCACATCCTGAACACGTCCTCATGCTAGACATCCGCCTAAGCCAACTGCACACATGAAAACAAGTGGTTCGCTCGAAACATCCTCAACACCTCTTCATGTTAGACGTCCGCCTGGGTCACCTGGGCACGTGAAAACATGCGTCTCCTCATGATGCTAGACATCCGCCTGGGCGATCTGGACACGTGAAAGCAAACGTCTCGCTCGAGACATCCTCAACACATCTTCATGCTAGACATCCGCCTGGGCGATTTGGACGCGTGAAACCAAGCGTCTCGCTCGAGAGATCCTCAAGACCTGGGCACGTGAAAACAAGCACTTCATTTGAGAAATCCTCTGAATTCTTGTCCCCAGGAAGGGACACTCTATAACACAAACCAAGCGTTTCGCGCGAGACGTCCTCACACAAATGTTCGCCTGCCCTACGCGACCTCGTTACTCATCGCAAATAATGTCGCTGGTCATACAACCGTCGACTCTAAGGGTACACGGCTAAAAGAAAACTCTGGGCTTCTGCCCTTTCCGGGAAAAAGGGTGCCGAAAACCAAAAGGACACTGGAAACCAAAAGGGCGCCAAAAACCAAGAGGGCGCCGAAAAACAAGAGAGCGCCGAACACCCAAGGGGCGCCGAAAACTAAGGGGGGCCAGAAACTAACGATGCGCCGAAAACCAAAGGGCGCCGAAATACCAAAGAAGCGCCGGTAACCGCAGAGCGCCGAATACGAAAGGGGCGCCGAACACAACAGAAGCTCCGAAGACGGACAGGGCGCCGAAAAGAAAAAGACGCCGAAAACCAAAGGGGCGACGAAAACCTAAGAAGCGTCGAAAATCAAAGGGGCGCCGAAAACCAACGATGCGCCAGAAACCAAAAGGGCGCCGAAAAAGCCCAAGACATGCCGATAACCAAAAGGGCAAAAGGGCGTCGAAAACTCCAAGGCGCGCCGAAAACCAAGAGGGCGCCCAAAACCAAAGGGGCGCCGAAAACCAAAGAGCGCCGAAACACACGAGGGCGCCGACCACTGAAGGGGCACCGAAAATCACAAGGGCACCGAAAACCAAGAGAGCGCCGAAAACCGAAGGGGCGCACGAACCCAAGAGGGCGCCGAAAACCAACGATTCGCCGAAAACCAAGAGGGCGCCGAAAACCAAAAGGGGCATCGAGAACCGAAGAAGCGCCGAAAACCAGAGGAGCGTCGAAAACCGCAGGAGCGCCGAAAACCAAAGGTGGAGCCTCGAAAACAAAAGGAGCGCCGAAAACCAAAGGGGCGCCAAAGGCCCAAGGGGCGCCGAAAGCGAAAGAGACGCCGAACACCACAAGTACGCCGAAAACCAATGGGGCGCTGAAAACCAAAGAAGAAAAGTAGCTTCGAACCCCCCTTTCAGCCAGGACCCTTCTGCTGGAAAAACCAACAGGAGGGGAGGGGGTAGCTTCGGAAGCCCCCCCTCCTTTGGAAAGGGGAGCCTGGGCGTACCCCGGGCCCCGAAAAGGATGGGGGGTAGCTTCCAAGCCCCCCCCCCTCAGCCGGGACCCTCCAGCTACAAAATCAAATCCAAACAAAAGGAAGGGGGGATAGCTTCGGAAGACCCCCCTTCCTGTGAAAGGGAAGCCCGGGTTCACCCTGGGCCCCGAAAAGGGGGGGAGGGGGGGAGCTTCCAAGCCCCCCCCACTTTAGCTAGGGCTCCCCCCCCCAGCTAAGACATGCCAACACGAGGGAGGGATGGGCGAGGTAGCTTCGGAGGCTCCCCCACCTTTTCCAAGGGAGGGGGGGGGGCGGGGAGTTTGAAGCTGGGGCCCCCCTTTTCGTGAGAAGAGTGCCACGAGCGCGTTTTTGTTTTTCTTCGTAACTGTTGTGCGACATAGTTTGGTCCAAGATGGACCAAGGAACGCATTCATTGAAACACAAAAATTGTTACCATACGTTTTTGTCTCTAAAGTAAGCGATCCGCTCGAGACTACTCGACGATGATGATGCTGATGATGATGATGACGATGATGATGATGATGATGATGACGATGACGATGGTGATGGTGATGGTGATGGTGATGGTGATGGTGATGGTGATGATGATGATGATGATGATGATGATGATGATGATGATGATGATGATGATGATGATGATGATGATGATGATGATGATATGGATTGTGATGAACGTGAGGGCGAGACGGAGGAAACAGGAGGAGTACAGAAGAGTCAGGCGGAGAACCAGGAACAGTCTTGTGAACGTTCGGGGGGCGCCTTTTCGTAGTATCTCCTGTGGACGTTCGGAGAGCTCGGCACAACTTACGATTGATCGTGATGATGCTGCACGTTCTTGTACAGCTCTTCGCTTTCACGCGCTTCCCGTTCATACCAAGAAAAGTTTCTGTTCGCTCGGGGCGTCCTCAGAAAAACGGTTTCGGAAGGGGCTCCGAATCAACACATCGTCCTGGAATCGCTCTTGGAAGGGCCCACCGTTTTTCAAAAGAACCCCCAAAAGCCCCCCCCCCTCCCCGGGACCCAAAGAGGGCCCAAAGAGGCCCCCAGGGGAGCTCCAGGAGGCCCCCCGAGGGTCCAAGACAGCCCAAGATGGCGTCAAGGAGGCCTCGGAGAGCCCACACGGAACCCTACGACATACCTAGGCAGCCCAAGAAGACCCCAGTAGCCCCACGAGGACCCCGACAGGCCCCGAAGAGGCCCCCAGGACGTCCCAAGATAGTCCCAGATGGCCCCAACAGCCCCCACGGTAGCCTCCAAAGATCATGAGGATCCCCCTTCTTGGATGTATTTTTCCTCGGGTTCCTTACCGTCCTCCTTCGTTGTCGCCGTCCCTCTTCTCTGCCTCCTCCTCCTCCTCCTCCTTATCCACCTACTCCTCCTCCCCCTCCCCCTCCGCTTCGTTCCTCCTCGTACTCGTCCTCCTCCATATATTCCTCCTCCTCCTCCTCGCGCTTCTCTTCCTACTCGTTGTCCTCCTGCTCCCATCGCTGCCCTCCCCGTCATCCACGCTGTCATCCTCGTCATCAGCCGCCTTGTCGTCGCCATCGTCCTTACGAACCAATGGACAAACTCGGCGCTTCCCGTTCTTGTCCGCTCAGGTTTGCCGCAGGCAGCTGTATACAGGA